ATTCTTTTTTCTAAAGAGAATGATACAGTTTACATAACAGATTTAGGTTTATGCAAACCAGCTAATTCTAATAAGAGAGACGATAAGCTATATGGAGTTCTTCCTTATGTAGCACCCGAAGTTTTGCATAAAAGAGAACATTCAGAAGCTGCTGATATTTATTCATTTGGAATTATTATGTCTGAAATACTTTCTGGCATTTCCCCTTTTAAAGATACTGATTGTAATGATAAGGAAGAAAGCAATGCTCTTGCGATCGGAATCTGTAATGGAGACCGACCAGATATTCAAGATTTGCCTCCTTTAATAGTTGAATTGATAAAAAAATGTTGTGACGCAGATCCTGCAAAACGACCTCTTGCGGAAGACTTGTGTAAAATTTTACATGCGTGGAAAACTTTTAACTCTAATTCCGAACTTGCGAAACAAATTAATGAAAGTGATCAGAATCGGATACGTCATTCGACAAGCCATATAGATCAAACCATTAGTACAAGCGAACTTCTTTGTACCAATATACTTCTTGGTGGAATCAGGCCCATTCGTACAAGTAAACTTCTTGATTTTAGAAATCTTCCTCAACCCAAAAATTCCGAAAGTGATGGCATTATACAAAGGTCAATGATTTCTGTTTTCTTTATGCGGATTTTTATTATTATATTGGTTTTATATGCGTTTCTTATGATTATTTAAATCATAAGTTAATCTTTCTTGGTTGTGTTATTATTTTATTTTTATTTGAATTCTTCAAAGATTCCCAAAAGATTCAAGAATTCAAAGAAATAAGAAAAAAAAAGTTTTCAATTTCTTTATCATTTCCTTGACTTTCTATTTCTTTTTTTTCAAGTATGCTTTTTTTTTTCTGATTTTTTGGAGGAATTTTGCCTACCTTAGTTTGATCCTAAATTTTTGATTATATCAAATCTCTTGAAAGATAATTAGCCAAAATCATAAATTGGTTGATTACATCAACTACAGAAAAAGTAAACAAGACATGTTCTTTTATATGTTTCCAGTTACATAACATCAAATCCAATAATATAATTGGTTACTAAAAAAGTTGGACAGTTTTTAGCTGAAAGAGTAGTATAGAAATATTAGATAAAGTTGAAGTTGTAAATGAGGAGAAATGGCATCTTTTGTTTTTCCCTTTTTTCTTTTTTTTTCTATTTTTTTTAGAGACAGAGAGTAAATACAAAACTCAAGTCCTATCCCAATTGGACAACAAGTTAAAGTAATGATTATTTATCCTGAAAATAGTTGAAAAAAGGGTCTTGAAACTATTCACTGGTTGAGTAAAGCAATAATTTCAGAAATATGGCTTGGAAGAGAAATTAATAATAGAAAACTAATATTCTTTCTAATTAGAAGACTTCAAATATAAAGTTTCAAGAAATAGTCTTTTGGAAGTGCTCTTAAACATTCTTGGATATTGTCACTTCAATAAAAATTAAACAGTCTAGCTGATTATAGGCAATAAGAAGTAAGTGCAATAGCAATTATAAAAGGCTTAGATTTTGAATTACAGAGATAACCTTTTCAATAATACTGTAGTTAGAATAAATGACAGCTTTTTTTTCTTTATTATTTTTTCTTTTTGTATATACTTGTGCTGTTTCTTCTTTTTCTTAAAATTTCTTTTTTATCTCTTTCTTCTTATATAGTTTCTGTAAAAGAAGTTTGATATACTTTGGATTTATAATTATAACTATAGAGATAATCTGCAGGTTTTAATTCTACTGAAGGTTTTGAATCTTGATCTTATTTATTAGAAAAACAATATATCACCTCCATAAATCACATCTAAAGATTTCAACTGTTAACAGATGAGCTGAATTGAGAAGATTATTTTTTGTATGTATTTTTCTACTTGTAATAGTTCAATAATTTAATAAAAAAACAATATTAGCCTAATTGGTTTAAAAAAAAAAAGAAAATAATTAATTTTTATTCAAAATAATATTGTTATAATTGAAGTAAAATTTTCTTTATTAAATAGATTATTAGAAAGTTCTAAAGTATTTATAATTTTTTGAAAAATATTCAGAATTAATTAATTAATAAAAATTGAATTAATAACTTTAGTTTTTTTCATTTAATATCTAATGTTATTTATATTGTAGCAGTTATTAAATATTATTTTCAAATTTTATATAAGATTTTGGAAAGTAATATAAAAAATAAGTTTATTTAATAAACCTTTTTTAAATATTGTTATACTTGATTTTCGCTCAATGATCTTCATTACCCTTGTTCAATTTTAGTAGCATTTATCCTTGTAACCTTGCCCATTCTAGAATAATCTTTGTATTACTGATCTACTATAGCACTGTGCTTTTCGTGCTAACTGTGCTCTAGAATATTACTTATTTCTCTAATTTATCTTTAATTACTCATTTCCGCCAGAGCACTTTTCTCTATGAAAACACATATAGATAATTGTTCTGACAAAGATAGTATCTCTCTTATAACTCAAATAGTACACATAGCATATATTTATCATGTACTAAATTATATATCTAAAATATGTATATAAACGCCTCC